AGTTCATATGACTTACCCTCACCATAATCAACAGGTAATCTTGCACTTGGAGTGCTCTAGGGAATAGCTTTGGACATTCATATGTTCCAAGTGCTCAATTGAATTTTCATAGCTTAGTTTTCCCTTTGAACCAAGTTCGTGGGATCTCCATTCAGCATGGTAGGATTACCACTATGATCATTCTTTACATTGTGGATTTTTAAGCTCATTCCCTCTAGCAAAACTGTCAATTGATCTCTATTCAATCTTTTCGTCAAAGGATCAGCCAAATTTTCCTTAGACTTCACATAGTCAATGGAAATAATACCATTTGTAATCAATTGACGTACGGTATTATGTCTACAACGGATATGTCTAGACTTACCGTTATACAAGTTGCTTTGCGCCCTACCAATAGCAGCTTGGCTATCACAGTGAATCATCACAGGCGGCAAAGTCTTATCCCAACATGGAATATTGAATAGAAAATTTCTAAGCCACTCGGTTTCTTCACCAGCTTTATCTAAAGCGATGAACTCAGATTCCATCGTTGACCGAGCTATACACGTTTGTTTTGTGGATTTCCACGAAACTGCACCTCCTCCAATACAGAAAACATATCCGCTGGTGGAGCGAGAATCTCTCGAATCTGATATCCAGCTTGCATCACAGTACCCTTCAAGTACAGCTGGGTATCTCGAGTATTTTAACCCGTATTCAAGGGTGTACCTCAAGTACTTAAGTACCCTTCTCAAAGCATTCCAGTGCTCATGACTGGGATTGCCCGTAAATCTGCTCAACTTATTCACCGGATAGGCCAAGTCTGGTAGTGTACAATTTGTCAAGTACATCAGACTCCCTATTATCCGTGAATATTCCAACTGAGCCACTGGTTGACCTTTGTTGACTTCCAGATTTATACTGAGATCAAGGGGTGTCTTACACCTAGACTGTGCACCGTCATATGTATCAAATTTCTTGAGCACTTTCTCTACATAATGAGATTGTGAAAAGACAATTCCATCTTGGGTTCTGATAATTCTTATTCCAAGAATAACATCAGCCAAACCCATATCTTTCATGTCGAAATTTCTTTTCAACATTCTTTTTGTATCCATGATCACTTCATGGCTACTCCCCATGATCAACATATCGTCTACATATAGACATACAATCACAAATGTATTTGATGTACCCTTGACATAAACACATTTATCACATTCATTGATTTTGAAATCATTTGTCAACATCACGTCATCAAATTTCAAATGCCATTGTTTCGGAGCTTGTTTCAGTCCGTACAAGGATTTGATCAATCTACACACCTTTCTCTCTTGTCCAGGTGCAACAAACCCTTCAGGTTGTTCCATGTATATTTCTTCTTCCAATTCACCATTCAAAAATGCCGTCTTGACATCCATTTGGTGAATCTCAGGATTGTGCAAAGCAGCAATCGAGAGAAGCACTCTTATTGACGCTAAACGCGTAACAGGTGAATAGTATAAAAGAAATCATACCCTTCTTTTTGTTTAAAGCCTTTGACCACCAAACGTGCTTTAAACTTATCAATCGATCCATCAGCTTTATATTTTTTCTTTAGGATCCACTTGCATCCTAAAGGCTTACAACCATCATGGAGATCAACCAACTCTCAAGTATGATTTTGCATAATGGACTCGATTTCGCTATTTACAGCTTCTTCCCAGAGTGGTCCATCTGGGCTGGACAGAGCTTCCTTAAGGGAACTCGGTTCATCGTCCAACATGTACGTAATAAAATCAGGTCCAAACGTTTTAGCCGTTTTTACCCTTTTACTACGTCTCGGTTCTTCATTAGTACCCTCTGGTACAGAACCACTAGCAGTTTCATACGTTCTTTTATTAGAGCTAGATTCTGCCCTTTCTTTCATAGGAAAAACATTCTCAAAGAATACATTCCTTGACTCAATCGTGGTACCAACAGATACCTCTGGATTTTCTGATTTATGAACCAGAAATCTATATGTTGTACTATTGTACGCATATCCAATAAATACACAATCGACCGTCTTTGGCCCGATTCTCATTTGTTTTGGTTCAGGTACTGAAACCTTAGCCAAACACCCCCACACTTTTAGGTATTTATAAGACCGCTTACGATTTTTCCACATTTCGTAAGGAGTCTCATTTTTCCCTTTAGGTGGTATTTTATTCAGGATATGATTTGCTGTCAAAACAGCTTCCCCCCACATGTTCTGTGGTAATCCTGAGTTAATCAACATGGCATTCATCATTTCTTTTAAAGTTCGGTTATTGCGTTAAGCAACACCGTTCGACTGTGGAGAATAGGGGGCTGTCGTTTGATGAATTATGCCATATTCAGAACATATTTGTTCAAAAGGAGATACATACTCCCCACCCCTATCACTTCGGATTATTTTAATCCTTTTTCCGAGTTGATTTTTAACTTCGGTCTTATATATCTTAAATGCTTCCACAACTTCATCTTTGCTTCTTAACAGATATAAGTAGCAAAACCTTGTGCAATCATCAATAAAAGTTACAAAATACTTTTTACGGTTCTTGTTTGCACACTTTTCATATCACATACATCAGTATGGATCAAGCCTAATGGTTCAGTACTCCTTTCCACCGAGTGGAAAGGTAACTTAGCCATTTTTGCTTCAATACAAATTTCACATTTTGTATTTGTCTCAACTTTAGAATTAGGAATTAATTCTAATTTCATCAACCGTTTAATTGCATTTAGATTTACATGTCCCAATCTAATATGCCATAAATCAGAGTACTCAACAGTATAAACAGAAATAGGCTTTTTATTATCAACGGTTACACGCCTCACGACCATTACATTCATTTTGAACAATCCCCTGTCGAGATAACCACGACCAAGAAATGTTCCATACTTGCTAAGAATAAACTTCTTAGCTTCAAACACCAGCCTAAATCCATGCTCAACAAGAAGTGATCCGGAGACCAAATTCTTGCGGATGTCTGGGACATGCAGAACATCCTTCAGCTTCAACTCCCTTCCAGAAGTAAGCTTCAGCACCACCGTGCCCACTCCAGCCACATCAGATGTGGAGGAGTTTCCCATGTGTAGTTTCCGACCCGTAGTAGGAATGTATTCAGAGAACACCTCCTTGTCGGAACACACATGACGAGTGGCACCAGTATCGATGTACCACTCCCTTGGGTTATCCACCAAATTGGATTCAAACACCACCGCCGACATATCAAAGTCGGTCAGTTAACCCGGCACAGGGTCGTGTTCAGCAACAAGGGCACTCGGTTGCGTTTTATTTGGCCCAACTTTCTTTGGCCTCTTGCAGTCTTTCGCCATATGGTTTGGCTTTCCACAGTTGTAACAAGATCCAGTGAATTTCCAAACCTTGGCGGGCTGCTTCCCTTTGTTAAGGGGCTTCCTTTTGCTCGAATTTCCTTGCTCCAACAAGTTCGCACGAGCCTCCATTATCGGGATTTTGCCCGACGAATTACGGTTGTCCTCCTCAATACGAAGACGAACAACCAGGTCTTCAAGACTCATCTCCTTTCTCTTGTGTTTGAGATAGTTCTTGAAGTCCTTCCAGCCTGGCGGCAGCTTCTCGATCACAGCCGCTACTTGGAATGACTCACTCAAAGTCATCCCTTCAGAATGGATATCGTGCAAGATCAGCTGGAACTCTTGCACTTGTGACACGACGGTCTTCGTGTCAACCATCTTGAAGTCAAGAAATTTGCCGACGACGAATTTCTTCGCCCCGGCATCCTCCGTCTTGTACTTCTTCTCCAGGGCATCCCAAAGCTCCTTGGCAGAACCAACAGAGCTGTACACGTTGTACAACTCGTTACTAAGCCCGTTCAGGACATAGTTACGGCAAAGGTAGTCACCTTGCCCCCAAGCATCGTACGCAGCGCGTAGTTCTGCATTGGTCTCATTCTCATAAATGACCGGAGGGTCGTCCTTCAGGTATTTCACCAAACCTAAAGTGGTCTGGTAAAAATGCATCTTTTGTTGCCACCTCTTAAAATCAAGCCCGTTGAATTTTTCGGGCTTTTCAGCTGTAGGAACATGGACAGCCGGTACATGATTGATCGGATGCTGAGAGCTGGAACCTGCTCCGGTGGATGCAATCAGTTCAGTAGGATGACTGACTATTCTTCTTGCGAATGTTGGATATTTTGTGTGAAATTACACGGGAATCTTACGAACTGATATGTAATTTTCAGTTCTTACAAATAATCTAAAAATAGAAAATTACAATTGAACTGAATAATAAATTACAACTGAAAAAATGGAAAGATTTTAGCCGAGGCGAGTAAAACTCTTTCCGCAAGAAGAATACGCCCCGTGTGGCTGCTAACGGTTAAGGCGTAACTTTCCCAAAGATACAACGGCAAACGTCTCTAAATCTGTAGCACACCAGATTTACGAGCTCCGGCGAACGGGAACGGAGTCAAGAATTGAGCACTTAAAAATAAAAGAAATATCTTAAAAGAAATAAAAATATCACTTGTTTCTTCTCTTTTGATATTTTTATATCCGATATTTGGACATATATTATTCTTTTCTTTCCTTTCTCTTTCTTTCTTCTCTCTTTCTTTCAGATTTTTGGTACATTTTCTTCTCTGCCGAGTATTCCTATTTATAGTGGAGAGAGGACAGATAAAGCCTTGAGAGAGAGCAGATAAATCCTAACCTTACAGATAGGCTGCAAACTGGGTTAGTGATTGATTAGCTGTATTAGTTGTATGACAATGATATGCTAGAATAATTGTATAAACAATTTAGCAAGTTGGCCATGATTGTACAGACAATTTGTC